ATATATATATATATATATATATACATATATACCCAAACGCATTATTCTGCGCGTCAAACGTGCACACTAGCATGCGTTAAACTTTTTTAACAAAAAAAAAGAAAAAGAAAAAAAAGTTGAATTTTAAATTAAGTGCGGCCGTGGTGCAGTGGTTACAGCGCTTGCTTTATAAGCAGGAGATCAAGGTTAGAAACGAGCTCTGGACATGTTTTCGCGTCACAGTAAGGAAGGAGGCGTGAACTTCCTGGTTAAATGCATTTCTGCAATGGCGGATGCTTTTTAATAACAATTTTATAAATAAATAAATAAAAAAAGCAAAAAAAAAAAAAAACAAAGAAGAAAGAAAAAGAATAAAATAAAAAAAATAAATAAAATAAAAATAAAGAGAATGAAGAAAAGAAAAAGAAAGAAATGAATAAGCAAGAAACAAAAAAAAAATTAAAAACCAAATCAAACAAATCAACAAGTAATAAAAACATAAAACGAAACGAGAAAAGAAAAATAAAAGACAAAAAACCAAAGTTAAAAGAAAAAAACATTCGAAAATGGAAAGTTCTTATAAAGAATTAAAATAAAATGTAGAAATCGCTCCATTTTGGAAGATACGAAAAAAAAAAAATTATTTATTTTGAGGGACGTTTGTTTTGTTGTTGTTTTTTGTTTTTTATTCTTGTGTATAGTATATTGGGCAATGTAGTGTATAGTTCATATTGTTGTATGTTTTAATGCTTTGTTTGCATCGGGTTTTTTTTTTTTTTTTTTTTTAGTTTTACGTTGGTTGGACATTTTTTTTAAATGTATATTTTTAAAGTTGTATATAAAATGTATATATTTTAAAGCTATATATGTATATGTATCTATATATATAGATACACTCACATACATATGTATACATACACATATATGTGTATGTATACATATGTATGTGAGTGTATGTACGCGCGCGTGTGTATTTATGTGCAAATAAGTGTGTATCTATGCATGTGGGTAAGTATGTGTTTATATCTTTATATTAATGTTTGTGTATGTATGTAACAATATTGAACTTTCTCATTTTTTTAATGCTTTTTTGTTTTTCTTCATTTTTTCTTTAATTTTTATCATATTTTTGTTATGTTTTTTGTTATAGTATTATTACTAGTAATTTTAAATATTTATCGTAACTACAATTGTTATTACTTTTAATTTTACTATTATTATTCCTATTTTATTATTTTCAATTTAACCCAGCAAACATGTAAGCGTTGAATCAACGTTGAAAACCAGTCGCAGCGTAGAAAAAGCGTTACAGTCACAAAAACAACGTGCTTTCAACGTTGAATCAATGTCTGTTTTTGTATACTAAATCGCGGTAAATTGAAACGTTGAATAAGCGTTGAAATTGTAACGTAATTTAGCCTCTCAAAATAAAACGTTTATTCAACGTGAAATCAACTTACGCAAAAAGCCACTTTAAAAACGTTTCGAAGTATATTCTTTATCAACGTTAAAAAAAACCGCTTTTTAAACGTTACATTTTCGACGTTGAATAAGCGTATAAATTTAAACGTATCTTATCTTCTCAAAAAAATGCGTTTATTAAACGTTGAAAATAAGTTCGCAAATAACACTGAATAACAACCCAAAAATATCTTGTTCGATGATTACATTTTCTAAAGCAGTTTTTCATGCTGATTACAAATCTGAAAACCGTTTTTCTCTATCACGTCAGGTTTTTAAGATATTAACATAAACATACATTTTTTAATCCCTTATTGTTACGAATGAATAAGAAAATAGAGTTTAGTTTACTAAGTTAATAACAGATGGCAACACTAAACATATTCTTTTGATATTTTAAATTGATATATTCTGTTCTGAAAATAGGTCTTTAGTGTACTTAATTTGTAACTGTATGTTTATTAATGAGTTGTGTGTTTATTATGAGTTATACTATTTCTATATATTTGCTATTTTTTTTCAGTGAAAGCAATGGCGTCTAGAGGCTGCATCAATTCACCAGACTTGTTTTGTTATGTGTGCGGCTATCTCACAGACAAGGGCCACCGAAAGACATTTACACCATTTCTGAGAAAAGCTTATGAACTATACTTTGATTCAAAGGTTGACAGCGGCAAGTCATGGGCACCACAGTTCATTTGTTTGACATGTGCATGCAACTTACGGGGTTGGATAAGGAATGCTAAAAATAACAACCATCTGGCATTTGGAGTTCCTATGATATGGCGTGAGTCAAGCAACCACATCACTGACTGTTATTTCTGTTTGACAAATGTCACAGGTTTCTCATACAAGACTCGTTCATCTGTGAAGTATCCAGATATTCCCTCGGTTTCAAAACCAATTCCACATGATAAGTCAGTTGTCCAATACCAACATCACTTACAGAATACAGAGTCGATGATGCAACACAAGAAGAAAGTTCGTCTTCCAGCAACATGGCAGACTCTGACTACAATCCTGATGATGATGAAATTCATTTAATTAATAATGATGATCTTTGCGACCTTGTACGGGACCTGGCACTAACAAAAGGTCAAGCTGAACTGCTAGGTTCACGTCTGAAAGAGTTTAATTTGCTATCACCAGGTACAAGAACTTCACAATTTCGACATAGACACAAGAACTCGTGCAGTTCTTTGCAATGAGTGGCAATATGTGCTACTGCACTGACATCCAAGGTCTTTTGTCAAGCCTCGGTGTAGAACATAAGACTGAAGCATGGCGTCTATTTATTGATTCCTCCAAGGCAAGTTTGAAGGCTGTATTATTACACAATGGAAACATGTATGCATCAGTACCGGTTGGTTATTCTACTCATCTAAAAGAGACGTACGAAACCATGTCGCTACTTCTTGAAAAAATTTGCTATCGCGATTACAATTGGAATATGTGTGGTGATTTAAAAGTGATCACTATTCTCATGGGAATGCAGACAGGGTACACCAAGTACTGTTGCTTTATCTGCGAGTGGGACAGCAGAGATAGGAAGCACCACTATATAAATAAGAATTGGCCCATTAGAGATAAAATGGAGCCAGTTAGTAAAAACGTCCTGCATGTGCCATTGGTTGAGCGTGAAAAAGTTCTTATGCCTCCACTTCATATAAAGCTGGGGCTTATGAAAAACTTCGTGAAGGCATTAGACAAAAACTCAGATGCTTTTCGGTACCTATGCAACAAGTTTCCAGAGTTGAGTTATGCGAAAGTGAAAGAAGGTGTATTCATAGGTCCACAAATAAGGAAGATCATAGCAGACAGTCACTTCGAAGATTTACTCAGCAGAACTGAAAAAAAAGCATGGTTGGCATTTAAGTCTGTTGTAGCCAATTTCCTTGGAAATAGTAAATCTCCTGACTATGTAAATATTGTGCAGAAGTGCATTAGTGCGTACAAGTTAATGGGTTGTAACATGTCCCTCAAGATTCATCTCCTCGACTCACATCTCGCCTTCTTTCCAGAAAACCTAGGTTCTGTTAGTGATGAACATGGTGAACGTTTCCATTAGGACATCTCGGTGATGGAGTCACGCTATCAAGGCCGATGGAGTGCAGCAATGTTAGCCGACTATTGCTGGATGCTTCAGCGCAACATGCCAAATTGTCAGCACAAACGCAAGTCTACAGCCAAGAAATTCAAACCAAACGAACTTTTAATTTAAGGAACTTTACGTTATACCTATGTATTTTACAAGTGTATTATATTTTAAACTATGTGTATTTATGTTAAGTAGTACTCTATTCAGCGATATATGCTCTACTGTAACTTGCCTGCGAGTTGTTTGCTTTGATACAATATTAAACATATATAAATGGTCAATGCCAAATAACTCAACAACGGTGGGTGATAGAGACAAACGGTTTCTATATTTGTAATCAGCATGTCTTACTTGTCTTAAAACAAGTGTTGGTTTCCAAGATATTTTCCGAAATTTTTTTTTTGTTATTCAGTGTAATCACTGTAAAAACGTCGCAAAGGTAATGGTTTATCAACGTTAGACATTAGCTGCTTTTTCAACGAATTTAAACTATTTGAAAAACAACACTTATTCAACGTTATTTCAACGTTGGTTGAAAATGTGCTAATTAAAAAACGTTGAAAAAGTGTTACTTTGCCAACGTTAATAAAACTTTGTTTTGACAATGTTGAGGAAGTGGCACATTGAAAATTATTATCTCAATAACTAGCCGTAATGGAAAGGCAAGGAAAACTTGTTAGAATGCATGCATATGGTATAAAAATTTTTTAAATAAAGTTATATTTTATAGCCTATTTTATTGCGACTAATTTAAAACTTTTAGATTATATATCAAAATGTATATAAAGTACATAAATCTCAGGGTAAATTCGATTTATTCAGCTTATTTTTGTCAATGTTTTATTTTGTTTTAAGTTGACAATTTTAATAAAATGCTCAACTTTTTTAAATATTTATTTCTTAGTTAGAAATAGTACTTAGTTTTAATACGATTCACATTTATAAAATATTATCAAAATTAATAAAACATAATAAGTCAGACTAAATTAAGTTTGTTAACAGAATAAATTTTTTAGTTTATTTACAAATTATCACTTATACATACATACATACATACATACATACATACATACATACATACATACATATATACATACAGACATACATACATACAGACATGCATAGATATATATATATATATATATATATATATATATATATATATATATATATATATATATATATATATATATATATATATATGTATGTATGTATGTATGTATGTATGTATGTAAGAGAGGCATATTGTGTGTATAATAAATACATATTTTTTTTTTTTTTTAAGTTACAAAATATTGTCATGTCTAGTCATTTTTATTGAAAAATATAAAAGTTGGTATAATGGTTTGGAAATTTTATTAAAGAATTATTATCAATATTTAAGAGTTTAATATTTTATGAGGAATTTAATATTTATATAGTTTAACATTTATTTATTACTTTATTAAGAGTTTGTATACTAGTTTTTTTAAGTATCTGAATACAGACCTATGAAGTCTCTCCCATTTGGCAGGAGTTTTCTGAATTTTGAAGAGAAACTCCAACCTGCATTTAAAAATAATTTAATAACTTTCTTTTCCTCATTAGTAACTTAAAATACACCAAGCTTCTAACTTTTTAAATAGTTTTCATTTTATAAGTTAAGAAAAATAGTTAAAGATTGTTAAAAATTGCTTAACACAAACATAAATATGTAAAAGTATATCTATACAGAATAAATTTCAGCTCAGTCAGTAGCCAAATTTGAACATTTTTAAGTTAGTTGTCAGAGTAATAAATCATTAAAAAACTTTTTTAGTCAATAGAGGTATTATAGTGGACAAATATCCAGTGGTATAAAATTTATTCCGAGTCTCCCTTGTAAACATTTTCAAAACATGACAGCAATGAAATCTACCTATAATAATTTTTCAATCATTGATTCCTGCAACAAACTTAGACTTAAAAGAGTTAAAGTAACTGGAGGTCATTAAATTTTACAGTAATTATTGCTATTTTAATTGTTTTATATGAATAAAAAAACTACTATAGCTTTATTTTAACGGTGAAGTATTATATCAAATTAACTATTTTATTTTTATTCAGGAATAAGTAATAGTTTGAATCTGGTTATGGTATTATTACTGCCTAGATATATATTGTAATCTGTTTACACTTATTCTACTTTTTTGTTTTTACATAACTTTATTTATATTTATTTTACTAAATAGTTACTAATAGATAAAGAAGTATGTGCAGGATTTATTTTCACGACTAAAGAGGACTCCGAAGAAGTATGTAAGTAATTATGTTTGTGAATAATTTTGTTTCTCTTCGGATTTAACTTTTCTTTGTTTTTTATATAGTAAAGAATAAAAAAAAATTTAATATAAACTATTGGTCAAAGCTGATTTCAATAATACTGTCTAAATTTTATGACTTGTGGTAGTTTGATTACCAGTATAAATTTATTTAGTAAAGTTCTGGTGGATCAAAGATCGAGGAATGATTTGGTTTTAACTGGTTTGCATCTTATGAACGAAGTACATAATATGATTTAAATTGATGATTTATAGTTACACCTATTGAAGTAAGTTTTATTTAGTTAATTAATGTTTGGATACATGACTATTTTTAGTTGCAAAATTTATATATATATATATATATATATATATATATATATTTATATATATATATATATATATATATATATATATATATATATATATATATATATATATATATATATATATATATATATATATATATATATATATATATATATATATACATATGTATAGTGCCAGTTCAAATAACCGTAAATTTACTGTATATATATATATATATATATATATATATATATATATATATATATATATATATATATGTATATATATGTTTTATTGTTATTATATAATATGTCATAATAATTATAGGGTTTTTATTTGTCAATATAGGAATACCAACAATATTGCAATATTTTTTTGTAGTAAATAAATGAATTTTGTTGTCTAACAAAAATTGTGGATTTTAAGTCCAGAATTTAAATCCATAAGACACTTTAGTTAATAACACTGTTGAAAACTAACCAAAAGTCTCTAAAATCGACATCTAAGATAAGATACAAGGTTTAGTAAACTAAGATTAACAGAGATTTACATTAGACAAGACTTTATTTATACATTAGGTTATTGCAATAATAAAAAGGACAATTTTTTCTTAAGAGAGATGTTCTTATAAAAAAGCTGAAAAACGTAGTTAATGTTGAAAGATGTAGAGTAGAATGAGGCTTGATTTAAAACTGAAGAGAAGTAATAAAAGCTTCCAAACTTTTATTCCAGAAGCAATATAAGCTTCCAAGATGCACTTTTTGCACACATATTATGGATATAAGCATATTTGTTTGCTATTTGTTTAGATGGTGGCATACAATATCCTTTCATTGTTGTATAAACTTTAGTATTTATATAGTGTAGTATTTGCCGAAAGAGAAAATGATCAGATGGATGTGTGGTGTGACTCTAACAAGATATAAAAAGTAGGCATAATCATAGTCAGATTAGAAAAAGCGTTGTATCAAACAACCTTTTTTTTTAGAAAAAGTTAAAGTAATTCAGGTATTAACATGTAGAGTGGTAGCAGCTTCAGTATAAAATGGTTGTGGTAGAAGTAAGAAAATTTGAAGAGTGTGCCTTATATAGTGCCATAATAAAGATGATGATGATTATCATGATGACGATCAACAACATCAACATAGTTTTTATTATCATTGTCAAGCTTTCCGCTTTTATGCTGTTGATGATAATGATGATCATGATGATTATGATGATGATGATGGCGATGATGATGATTATGATGATCATTTTGATCACAATGATGTTCATATATGCATATATATACAAAATATAGCATGAATTTTAAATTTAAAAAATATACTTTAGGATGTATAAATGTTTATGCAGCCTGGTCTCAAACCCTGCCCTGGCCCCGGCTATATTTTATCAAACCCGGCTCCGACCCCAGTAAAATATCAACCACAGTTGTTTACTACAAAACATTTCAAGAATAAAAAACGTCGTGTTATTTTTAAAAAAAATTACTTATTTTATGCTATTACAACAATCACAATATATATATATATATATATATATATATATATATATATATATATATATATATATATATATATATATATATATATATATATATATATATATATATATATATATATATACATATATTGATTTATTTTTACTTTTTAAATTTAATAATAATCATACTAATTCAATAACATTTTTTAACATTTGCTTTCAGATTGATAATGATACAAGTTTTGTTTTTTGATTTAGATTCTGTATCTCAATGATATCCTGGCCTATCGATACGATATCCCGTAAATCCACTCACACACATAAATTTTACTCACATACGTAAATCCTTTAAATTCACTCACACACATAAATCTTAAAAAAGATGTTTATATTTTTATCTATAAATTGTAAATTTTATATAAATAAATTGTATATTTTTTATGTTTTTCATTGTATATTACAATTTGTATTAAAAATCGACTTTGGAAATATTGCAAGTGCAGAGTTCAACATACAATTTTGTTTTATTTGCAAATTCAATATACATTATAACCAAGTTTAATCACGTTTAATAATATTTTGCGATATTTTCTCCAGCGCATTTGAGCGTTGATTTTACGTTATATTTCAACCTTTACTCGAGGTCTTTGAGTCACGTTAAATCGACGTTTTACTACCAACTTTACAAATCCTTGCAAAATCGACTGCTTTAACAAAGTTAAAGTAACGCTTTTCAAATAACGCTTTTTCAACGTTAACGTTTTTTTTTTTTTTTTTTTTTTTTTTTTTTTGTTCTTTTATCTTTTTAATGTTGTGATTCTACATGATTGGTACAAAGTTATAATGTTTTCAAAATATATAATACTAAAAATATATCACAATTTTATAGAATACAAAAAATATGATTGTAGGGTATCATTAATATTAAAAGAACGCGGGAAACTTGCAGAAGACCAGACGGTCTTGTCATCAAGAAACCGCTTGTACTTGTAATATTTTTTGCATTTTCGTTTTACAATGTAACAAGTTTCACAAAATACTTCATTTTATATTAGGTTCACATATTATTATATGTGAACCTAATATAAAATGTAGAAATAAAAAAGTTGGTAAATACTGTTTGTAGTAATAATGTTGGTAAATACTGTTTGTAGTAATACTGTTTGTAGTAATAATATACATAAATATATTATTAAGCATAAATATAATTATTATTGACTTATATTGATTTTTTATATTAATATATATTATTGAAGTTTTTTGGATTTTGTTTTCAATTATAATTTTGGTTTTACTTTCAGTTTTAGTTTAGTGAAAGTTTAAATAATTGCTGATATTTAAAACAAACTTTTTTAGTAAGATTTTCAAACAATTTATGTTATCTAATTTTGTAATAATGGCATTTTTGGATATCAGTTTATTATAGAGATAGGGACCGCGAAACGAAATTGTGAAACGCGACAGTTTAGTTTTTCTGAATGGTACATTAAAGTTTCCTACTTCTCTAGTGTCATATCTATTTTTATTGCTTTTAAAAAATTCATTTAAGAAATGTGGAGGGACAAGCCCGAGTTTAAATTTTAGCATGAAGAGTAAGTTTTGGTAAATGTTAATTTTATAGACGTTTAGTGCATTTAGGAGTTTAAACAAAGGTTCAGCATGAGTGAGTTTATCTTTTTTATAGACAATTCTAATGGCATTTTTTTGATGTTGATAAAGTGATTTTAAATTAGATTTATGGGTACTGGCCCATGCTATATTACCATATGTATAATAGGTATGTATAAATGAAAAATAAAGATGTTTTAGATTTTCTTGGGATAACATTGGTCTAGCTTTGTATAGCACGCCAATGTTTTTGGTTATTTTAGTATTTAAATAGTCAATATGGGCTTTCCATGAAATATTTTGATCAATAAGTAAACCTAGGATTTAGTTGTTGTGATTCTTTCGATATTTTTGTTTTTTATTCTTAGCAATGGCAATATATTTGGTAGTTTTTTTCTTTTTTGATTTGGATGGAATAAGATGTAATTAGTTTTTTCTGTGTTTAAAGATAGTTTATTAGATTTAAGCCAATTATTAAGTTTTTCGAGTTCAATATTCGTTGTTTCAAAAAGTTCTGTAATTGACGGGAATAAATAAAATAAATTAGTGTCATCTGCAAACATTATGACATCAAGTTTGTTTGAGGCTTTCGGAAGATCATTAATGTATATTAAAAACAGTAAGGGAGCTAGAATGGAACCTAGGGGAACGCCACATTTGATCTTTAGCATTTTTGAACAGATATTTTCATCAGTATTATAACATTGTTGTCTGTTTAGCAAAAAGTTTTTAAACCAGAGTAATGCAACATTTTTTACGCCATATTTTTCCATTTTTTTGAGCAGGATTTCATGATCAACAGTATCGAATGCTTTTCATAGATCTATAAAGATTCCTAGAACAAATTCATTATTATCAAATGAGTAGTTGATGCTATTTACAAGATTTATGATTGCATGTTCGGTTGCATGTTGTTTTTGAAGTCCAAACTGTTTTTTATTTAAGATGTTATTGTTTGTTAAATATATGTACAGTTTATTATAAATTATTCGTTCGAGAAGTTTTGAGAATACAGGAAGGATTGAGATTGGTCTATAGTTGTTTAGTAAATATGGTTCTCCAGTTTTGTATATAGGTACAATTTTTGCAATTTTTAATTTCTCTGGAACGGTTCCTGTTATAATTGAAAATTTTAATATTTCGAAGAGGGGTTTTTTTTTATCGGAAAGATATTTATTACTACATTGCTACAAATTTCATCAATTTCTGGTGCTTTGTTAATTTTTAAAGAGTTTTTTGCATTTTCAAGTTCTTCATAGCTTAGTCCATTGAAAATTAGTTCGCTATTTAGATCTGTAACGTAGTTTTCAAAGGAGTCATTTGTAGTTAAAATTTCAGACGCCATGTTTGGGCCTATGTTTGCAAAGAAATTGTTGAAGTGTTCAGCAATTGAGTTCTTATCATCGTGTTCAGTTTCATTTATAATGATTCTATCTGGTAAACTATTTGTTTTTTTGTTTTTTTTCCCGATTATTTCTTTCATAATGTTCCATGTTTTTTTCATGTCTCCGTTTGTTTTTTTAAGTAATTTAGAGTAGTAAATTTTTTTAGAATGTTTTTTGATTTTTTCCAAAAGATTTTTGTATTGTTTATAAGTAGATAGGTAAATCTCATTTCTGTTTTTCAAATATATAACGTATAGTTTTTGTTTTGTTTTTAAAGATTTTTTAATACCGCTGGTGATCCATAGACAGCTCAAATATTTTACTTTGATTTCTTTTTCTTTGATTGGAAAATGATTATTGTAGTGCTTTAGAAAAATATCTGTAAAAGTATTATATGCAGAGTTTGTGTTCCCAAGGTTACATTCTTGATACACTTTAACCCAATCTACTGCCGATAGTGTGTCTTTAAAATTTTGAATTGAAAATTTATTTATTTTTCTTTTATAAGTTATTTTTTTCAAATTATTATTTACTCTTGTATCATTTTTTATTGTAAAGTAAATTGGAAAATGATCTGTTATATCAATTTTTACTATTCCTGCTTTTAAGGAGGTATCTAGAAATGAGTTTGTTAGTATGTTATCTATGGCAGAAATAGAATTTAAGGTTACCCGTGTCGGTTTATTAATAATTGGTAAAATACAATGTTGAAACATGTTATCAAAAAATAATTTAGTTATCAAAAACTCATTGTATTTTAAACAATCTATGTTGAGGTCCCCAATACAGAATAACTTTTCTTGTTCTTTATTGATTTTGAGAAAAATTTCTTCTAGATAATTAGAAAAAGTTTTAATATTACCTTCAGGTGGTCTATAACAGATAGAAACAATAATATTTTTAAACTTGGAGTTTATGATTTCTATTGAAAAGACCTCACAATCGGCATTAGAAATGGAGTGGTCTTTTCTTACTTTTTGCTTGATCATTCCGAACATAAGTTGCAATCCCTCCTCCTTTTTTGCATGTTTTTCTTTCAGAAGATATTAATTTATAATTGGGAATTTGAAAGTTAATGTTATTTTGGATTGATTCGTCAGAACACCAAGTTTCTGTTAGACAAATCATATTAAATAAGTAATTACAATCAATTAGGAAGTGCTTAAGTTTTTCAAAATTTTTATTTATGCTTCTTATATTTATGTGAATTACTGTAAAATTATTTTTAATAGTTTCATGTTCAGTTTTAAAAGTTTCAGTTTTAACATATCGAGAATCAAAATTATTCATTTGAAAAATATGCGTATCAGCGTCAATGAGTATATTATTAGCAGTTTCGAAAACATTAAAGTGCATTGATTCAAAATCTATTGTTTTGTTGTTCATTGTTTTAAAATTTAAAATTGAAAACGCGTTTACTTAGTTATAAAAAAGTGTAGCGCTATTTTTTAAAATCTCACGTAAATATTTTATCATATTTTAAAATGGCGTATTTACCTTCGCTTCTTAGTTTTTTTACTACTTCCCATAACTTTCTTCGATGATTTATTGTTTCTTGAGCGAAATCTTCATTTATGTATAGTCCAGTTCCTTTAAGTTGTTTTACTGCTTTGAGAATTTTGTTTTTGTCTTGGTAGTTCAAGAGTTTTAAGACTAATGTTCTTGGTTTGTTTTCTTTAAACTGTCTGATTCGATGAGCTCGTTCGACCACCACTTCACTAGGTATTTTCAATAGTGTTTTGAAAATATCTTTAACAGCTATTTCGCAATCTTCCCAACTTTCGCCTGGTGTTTCTTGTAGGCCATCAATTCTTAAGTTGTTCCTTCTTGATCTATTTTCTAGATCTATAGATTTTTTATTTAATGAATTGATTTCTTTGTCATAGTATTTTTTTATTTGTGATATTTTTTCCGAGATATCATTTTCTTGAAAATTTAGGCTGTCTTTAATGTCGCATAAGTCTTTTTCTATATTTGATATTTTACATTTGTTGTTATTAATGTCTTTCTCTAGCATGTCCAGTCTATCTGTAATAATTTTGAGATTTGCACTGATAATTGAGGTAAATGATTTTTCCTGGTCTTTTAATAATCTTTCCGTTTCTTTTAGGATACTTTTTTTGTGCTCCTCAAGTTTACTTGAAATTATTTTTTCAATGTTTTTTATTGTGATGTCCATTTTTTTTTTTTTATATATATATATATATATAAATGCTTAATCTACGCTACAAAAACACGTCTGTTCACTTCACGCAAGTCACGCCAAAAAATTGTTTAAGAATAGCATGTGACTTATAATTTCGATTATTATTGTTATTACAATTACTATTATAATTGTTATTGTTTTTTTTTTTACTATTATTATTATTGTGGTTCATATGTTTATTACTATAAATATTATTTTTATTATTATCTTATAA